ATACTTGTGCAAATTGACATTGAACTGGAATGGATGCTTCTATTTAGAAAGTAAATGAACTTAAAGAAAGTGAAGGAAAGAATAAACACAGTGCAGAACTGGCTGTGGATGACTGCCTGTTTAAACATGGTTTCCAAGAAAAAGGATTTTGTCGATTCTATAGGTGTGCAGACCAGGATGTTATCTGATGCAAGCTGTTTGCTCAGTCGGGGATGTCAATACTTGAATTCAAATGTTGTCAGAGAGGCAGAAATTAAAGTGCAGAGCAGGAAGAATTTATGATGAATTTCCAGAAGACAAGTTTAATCAGGATCATTATGTACCTTTGCACGATGACTAGGCACAGTGAGGTAGAGGAGAGTTACTCAAAGCACAGATACTTGTGTTTAAGGATCTTGGCAGTTTAGGGGGTAGGATTTCAGTCAAGGTCCTACTGACCTGGGTTTGCTTTTCTGTAGTCTAAAATTTTGAGATGGGGAAGAAAGTAGGAGCATGTTACAAAGCACTTCAGCAAGACTGTACTGGAAGACATTAACTTTTTCTTCACTATAACCTAAATGGTGGTCTTTATTAGGATTAGCCATTATGGACTAGGAGGTAGTAATTTCCAGATATTCCAGCCAAATATTTTGGCTTGCATCTTGTGCTAAAAGAACACATCCTTCAAGGAGGTGGAAAATTGTTTACTGAGTTAACAGTAAATTGTTACTTAGTTAACATTTTATGGGAACTACTGTTGCAGTCAGAAGAAAAATAACATCCTAACCCTTCTCCCTGAATCAGTTTTACTCGGTAAAAAAAAAAAAAATTACTCAAAATAAATTTTTATATTTACTGCAAATACTTCATAGGTAATGTGTTCATATAGTTCATGTTTACTTTTTGTTTCTTTAGAATTTGTCACCTGTTTTCCTACAAATTCATTGTCTTTGACCCATCTCTTTATTAAAGGGTATCTCAGAGATGATCATATAAAGTATCAAATGCAAAGCAAGAAGGAAATAGACCCTCCTAACTAAAGCTAAAAAGCTGTTATGGACGGGTTGTGTAAGTATGTAATAAGCCACATTGTTCTTGTGAAAATAAAGTGAAAACCACTGGGAAATAAAACATCATTTTTAGCCAGGTTTAAAACAGAAAAATCTGTTATTAAATTCCAGAATTATAATTTCATCTTCCTTCCGTGCACTTCTTGAAAGGTAAATTTGCAGCGTATTTCCTCCTTAAACAACTGCTGGCTCATTTACAGTTCAAGTTGTGAGTTAATGATTGTAGACAGAAGCGTCAGAAGTAGATTTTTTTACTACACAAAGTAAATATTTCTGATATGACTTCCAGTTGGACAGCCCATGATTTTTCTGATGAATTACCTATGGGGTTTAATCTATTTTTGAAGGTGGTGATCTGAAGGTTATCTGACGTGATTCTGCTACTTTGGGCTAGAACTGGTCCTACTCTGAGTTCCTTCTCTTTTTGGTTCTGCAACTGTGGCAAATTACAAGATTTCTCTGTGCTCTGTTGCCAGCTCTAAGAAGCCAGCTATCTGATTTCTAAAATCTTTTGAGATCTCTGGAAGGCAAAGTTCTGTATTAGAGTTGAGTGGTGGTTTTTACTGCTATTACCAATGTCAGAGACATATCACTGCTTTGATGTATGACTACACTCATGACATTTCTAATGTCTTTGAAAGAGGATATGCTGAGAACATTCCTTTGTAAGAATTGTTTTGTCTTTGTTCACCTTAAGCATTTGGGAGTTGGCCGATTCTTTCAGAAGAAGTTAAGTCACTACTAAAAGAAGTGATTTGAAAATAAATTTGCACAAGATAGCCTTTGTTTTTGCAACCAAATCATCTGAGAGGAATTCTGAGTAGTAACACCATCAGAAACAGGAATTTTCCTTTGGATCCAGAAAATTGGATGTCAAGGTTTGCTAGTTTACTTCTGCAGGTAATAACACCAGAACAGTCGTTTTCATCCAAAGCAGTGACCTCTGAACAGGTTGTGTTGCTAGATAACTGCTGTCCCTCCTACTGAGTCACCAAGCTGTTTTCTGGTATGCTGGCTTCACATGATGCCTTTATATTCTATGGGCAAGCTCTTTCAAATCTGGATAGATGTTTAGATTCTCTGTGTTCACGTTTAACCGGGAAGGGCAAAGATTGCAGTGAGTAAAAGAAAAAATACTTCAACTTTGCTAAAAGGCTTACCATGGAACAGATTTGAAGTGGCACTTTCCACCCCCAATCTAAATCCTTGTCTCTCTCTCCATCTGTAACATTTTAGTGTCTGACAAGAACATATGAAACACTGTTGCTATAGTGTATACAAGCAATACTTCATGTTTCTGAAAGAAGAAAGAGCTGAAGAAGTTAAACATATTTACAAAGTAAAGGGGATAAAAATTACTATTGACAAGTCTATAACTTGTAAGTACGTATCTTTCTGTACAGGTATATTTCCAAAATAACAGGCCCCTCATACAAGAATCTTTCACTTTTTCAAGCTAGGATTTCTTCCAGCCCCCCCCACAATAGATCTGTTCTTTGAGAAATAAATTATTTTGTTTATACAGACATTTATTTCTGGGATGGATTTGGTTTTGATGCAATTTCTTGTTAATTATGGGAATTTTTTTGTCTCCATGAATATGCACACTTTTCCTCAATTTTCCAAGGGAAAAAGACAACACTGACACAGTTAGAAACATGTGGATACTAAATGCAAAAAGCAAGCAGGGAACAGAGCCTGTGTGAAACTAAGTCACAGGCTTCTCACTCTGGCCTGAGAAAGCAGGAGAAGGAATCCAAACAGTCCTTGGTAAAGGACAACAATCTGCAGGTGGTGTTTAGGAAAACAGTCAAGAGGTGGTGTTCCACTTAACCAATGCTGGTGATGTGTTGCTTTAATGAGCAACGAGTTTTACCTCTCAGACCTTCTTGAACATGTGTATAAAAGAAGATCAAGAATAATAAACTTTGCTTTCCTGTTCAACTCACAAGAGAATCTGTGTTGTTCTTCTCGCCGTTCCCAATAGAGTGACACTTCTCTGCCTGTTTCAGTCCAGAAACTTGAACATATCCCAGCCCCCGCAGTGAACCCCTTGACCCTAGTCTGCCATTTTGAACTAATACATATTAATTTAAAGTAAGTGAAAGAGTTCTAACAAGCAAAATCAGGTTAGGCAGCAGTGGTTTGATGCAGTTTTCTATGGTGGGAGACTTGAGTTCTTACCCTAAGTCATCAGAGAAGTTTTGTTTATTTTAAAATAATGTACAAGACATGGAGATAATTTCTATTTTATGTTGAATTTGCTACTGAAACCATTTAAAAAAGTTGTATCTTATCATCAGGTTAGCATAAAGCTTTAAGCTCAAGCAAATGTCTGCTTACCTAAGTTGGAAATCGCTCCCTCCAAGATCAGTAATCCTATTTATTTGCTCTTTTGCATAAACACATGCCAAATGATACACTGGGTATTTATGTTTGAGAGCTTTCCTTGCCAGTAGTTGGAGTTGTCATCTGTAAAATCACCATGGCATTTTAAAAATCACTATTTTACAACCAAGTTCACTTTAAAGTGTCTTAACAAAATTGCAGTGACATACCTTTTCAAGACAGTTACTTTATCTTCTCATCCTACTTAAATCAACGTCTGAAAGATCAGTGTGACTGTAGTCATAACTTCATCTAAGTGTACCCTGGAGTTATGGAATTGCTTCAGATGTTCTGAATAATGCTAATTCACTGTAGACCTTAAATTTGCAGTACTTAGAAGGAAGTTACTTTAATATATATTTTTATTTTTATTTTTTAATAAAGTCAATGGCATTAATCCCTGAGCATTACAGGTAGTGAAAAGTTGTTGGATCCATGGAAAGTGGATAGCTTTAGTATGAGAAGGTGAGAAAAACACAGGGGTGAAATACAGAAGTGTGCAGGTCTTCCTTTCAGCTTCTAGAAACTTAAAAAACCAGTATGTTGGGTGATTGGCTTGTTCATTGTGCATTACTGGATATGGTAATTACAGTAATGAAATATCACCAAAATATCCTTTTTTGGGTGGGGAGGGGGGTTGGTGGGAAGAAGGATGTAGATCTTAGAAAATGTAGGTTTACACATCTTTGTGTGCATCCTTCTGTCTGTGTTTCAGACAAAGTGGATGCACAAAGGGTTAACTGATTTAATGCTTTGCCCAGGAGCACAAACCATTCTCCTCAGGGGATATAAAACACCGAAGCGCTATGTATTTTAGTATCTTGGATTTTATTGAAGGTTGACTTTTGATTAACGGCTTTTGATGGAGCCGAAGTTTAGTGAGGCAAAAGCAGCAGCCAGATGTTCAGCTGAGCAGCGCTGAGGGTGCCAGTAAGGGGCGGTGCTCTGTGGAGAAGCAAATTACTCATGGTTTCAGCTCCGCTCCTAGCCGGACCTGCAGCCACCGTGACCCGGCCCTGGCCGTCTACAAGCGTCTGGGCTCACCTTTGCCGATAGACCCAGGCAGGGACTGTGAAACGCCCCGCCCGCTTCATCCAGCCGGTCCGGGGGAGAGCGGCGCTCCCGCGCCCTCTGAGGGGACCCCGCGGGCCGGGCCGGGCCGAACCTCCCGCCCTTCCACACCGGGCCGGCCCGTCCGTCTGTCCGTCCGTCCGGGCCTCGGCGAGGCCGCAG